CAGTCAATCAGTGACAACCATCATATTTTAGGAGAAATAAAATCATAGTTTAGGTCAATTACTTTTCATTCTATGTTGCCTGATCTCTGACAGACATTCTATGCACAATTTTATACCGACTGATGTGGTTATGTGGACATGTGGTGATGAGTGATGACTGCTGGTGATGACTCAGGACTGATGAGTGATGAGGCTGCTTGGCCTTGAGGCATCAATTTTTTATAAAGTGAAAATTTTTTCTTGAGCAAGGTTAAGATGTAATCAAAATTCTTTATTGATAATTGATTTGTTATTATAAACTGGACTGGAGCCTTTGCAGGCTTTGCTAACCCATGTTGACATATTCTACTGTTAGTACTGTACCTAAATGCCTTTCTAGGAGTGTCCCTTTAATCCCTTTACACCCTTATTCATCACCTTGGGGGTGGGGGGGTGTCCCTTACTGCCCCGTCGTGGTCGTTCGGAAATGGCAGCCATTTATTTTTGGAATGACCAATGCATATTCTGTCAATCACATCTTAAGCCAATACCTGTGTGCAACTTTTATGTAATAAAAATTTTTAATACGGCACATATTTTTTGCTACGGCGGGTGTCCACGCTGGGTGGACTTAAAGCCACAGGACAACCGCAAGGATGACCGTGAGGCCTGAGAGCTTCTGCAGTACTGTTCTGTTCTGTTCTTCGATGGATTATCGGAGTGCTGCGCCTTGGACGATTCACTCCGGAAGCAGCTGTTTGTTAACGATTAAGGGTCAAAGCGGTGGGTTGAACTGATGAAGTTTTCAACGGCTCTGCAGGTCTGAGGCCAGGTAGGGCTGCTGGTGATATCTCCTCCCAGAAGGGTTTCAAGACTGAGTACGAGTATCCCCTGGGAGTTTATCTGACGTCGCAGTTGGGAGCGGGCTTCAGCGTACTCTGTGCAGACTATGAGATAGTGATGTGCTGTTTCTGGCACTTGGCACGAAGGGCAGAGTGGTGATGGGGCTTGGCGAATCTGGAAGAGAGATTTGTATGAGTTCGAGACCGCAACAAGCTGTGAATGTTCTGCGATGTTAAGAATCGGTGACAGGCCTACGGCCTAATAAACGCTGAAACCGCTATTATTATTATTAAGTAAAATTTAAAGGCTTTATCTATAAATGTAGCGGTAGCGTTGTAGCGGCAAAACCTCGTATCGCTACTTAAATATGTAGCGGGCGCTAGCGCTACATTTCTTAAAATGTAGCGCCGCTACCGCAACATGTAGCGCGCTACTGCCCACCTCTGTGTGGGAAGCCTTATTGTCGTGTAGGACTCTGTCAGGTGATGTTGTGCTTATGTGGGCGATGAGGTTTGGAAAATAGAGCCCGATGTGGGTATATTTGCGTTGGAATATTAGTGAGTATACTCGTCTTCCTATGTGGTTGGAGGAGCTGTTTCATAATGTGGTGTGTCTTGCGCTTGTCTGCAAGAAGGTATACGGGATGGGGCCTATTCAAAGGCCCCATACCGTGGAAGTCGAAGTAATTGATGTAGTCTATGCGGGGTGCGATGTATGTAGTTCCTATTGTGATGGGTCCTTGTTGAGTGTCGACTGTGATTGCGAGCATGTATGTGTGGAAATTGTCGTGGAGTGTGTCTGACAAGTGTCTTTTAATGGCTTTATCATTATCAGTACCGATGTGTAGAGAGTTGCCTATACATCAATGAAAATTTTAGCCACCTAAGAGCATTACATTGACTATTACCAACATCGAAGTAATTTTTAATTCTAATCTTAGCCAAAACAAATCTTTAACCACTGGGCAGGGTGGCCCAGTGGTTACAGTTCAGCGAGTACCAAGATTGGCGCAGGGAGGTGTGGGTTCGATCCCAGCTCTGTGCGCCAGTTTCTGGTCAGAATCGGCGAGGAGGCCGGGCGGTTAAATTGCACAGCAGAGTTGGAGCAGTGAGTTCTGAGTTCGAGTCCTCAACAAGCTGTGAATGTTCTGCAATGTTAAGAATTGGCGACAGGCCTACGCCTTAATAAACGCTGAAACCGCTATAAAAAAAATAACAACCGCGACGGCAGAAATTTCAATTACTACAATTCATGGGTGAACTACTCAACTAAACTATATGGTAGTACAAGTTTGACCCATGAGAAACTCATTTTAGCTGATGTAGTTCTTTGTTCACATGTGACGTCACTGATCTCAACCATGGGTTAATCTTGTAGAGTTGCAATTTATCAGTACATAATGGTATTTGTGCATGAATCTAGTTGATGTTATAAGAAAGAGTATATATAATTCTTTTTTAAGATTTTCTGTTCAAATGACTACGCTTCTGGCCTGAGACTTGTTAAGTCAGTGTGGATTCAATTGCATCTCAAATTTCAAGATTTTCAAAGCTCAAGTTCACAATCATCACGCCGTTACTCCCTCAACAGCAACACACACCACCGTCTGGTGTTCTTAAATTTCCCTCATTTGCAAGAAATGGAGCTTTTTTGGTCATGTTTACTCACACTTGAGACTTTGGCTCACGCACAGATTCGGTGCCATAATAAAAACATCCGTTTGTTGGTATAGTGGACCAGTGGTTTATTGTTCAGAGTACTAGAATCGCAGCCAAGAGTTGCGGGTTCGCTCCCAGCTACTTGCGACAGTTATGGTCATAATTGCAATGGGCCCAGTGGTTTTGAAACAGTAAGATTGGAGCAGTGAGTTGCAAGTGTACAACCCCAGCAAGCTGTAAGAATTCTATGCTAAAAATCGGCAACAGGCCAGATTTTGCTTACTCAACGCTGACACCACTATACTTGAAATCTCTTTTAATTGAGAATATCTTTCCTTACCGTTACCTAACTCCATGCTTCCAAACAATACGTGCAGCCGAATTAGTGGAAGGGCGCGACTGGTGCTCCCGGCTGAGCAATGCTTGGAATGCAGGCCAGGCGATTTTGTTAAAATTACAGAATCTTTGAGATGACGGAGGAGTTACGCAATTGAATAATGTGCTAGATTGATCAGAACATGGAGATGGATGGAGTTTAAAGTGACATGAGAAGCCTAGGACGGGAAAGTTAAAGGAAGAGATGCGAGCTGATGATGGTGAGATTTGGTGATAAGGTAGTTACAGGGGAGGGAAGGCAGGCCGGTCAGTCTTCGTTGAAGATACCGAATGGGAAAGAAGTGATGAAAAGATAACCCTTATCACAGTAGCTCTAAGATCTTCTGTGAAGAAGAACCAGGAGGGTTGGTGGCGGTAATATTGCTAACAATGAGGCAGTTACCCGTGATGGTGAGGATGCCCGACAAGTCCGGGGGGTATCCTGGAGGCATGCGACCATGGTTGAACTAGTATAAGGTTGATGTCACGTGATGTCACTGATCTCAGTGACGTCACGGGCATTAACCAATCACCGAAATGCGTTCAAACCAGTCAACCAATCCTGCATGGGAATGACGGGATTGTTTCCGTTTTTCGATCTAAGTGACGTAACAAGAAAGCTGAACTGAAAGACGGAACTTCTCGTGGGTCAACCTTATATAGTTCAACCATGGCACGCGACAGTCTCATCGTCACTCTGATTGAGAAGGTGAACAGTTCGACGTCGCTGGATTGAATATCGTTTCAGGTGCGGACGGAGCGGTCTTCGCCCCTCGCACCGACAACGCAAGCCAGGGCACCCCCATGGCGTAGAAAAACGAAGACACTCGAACAAGAGGTCGCTTACACGGGACGTCGGCCGCCCGCACGAGAGAGACAGAGAAGGGAAATATAAGGAATCCTACCTACATAATAACTTAACCCCACAACTGAGACCTACAGTCAGACACCGCGAGCTCAACGGTGGGGCGCTCTGGAACAATCCCCCTAGGAACGCGAAATCCCATAGGACTTCTGACGAGTACAGACACCCGTCAGAAGTCCCCCCTGAGGGGGAGTGAATACTAAAATAAGGCTACCATCATCAATTATAATTATGATTACATTTCCGTAGGTAACAAAATGTTTCAATCTAATTTACTCGATTCATTAAATTATTCTCTAATTTAGTGGTATAATATCAAAGTTTACAATAAAAGTCAATGAACGTTTCCGGGTGTAATTTTCGTTATGGACGTGAGTGCTCAAAGGCATAATTATTCAAGACATCGTCAAAATCAATATTTTTTTAAAGCTTTGACTGCACAGTGAAGAATTTCACTCAAAGATTACTGGTATTTGTCTTGTAAATTAATAAAAAAATTAAAAAAGATGCGTCTTGAGAATTGGTATCGCAACTGACTTTATAGTTTTTGACAGTTAAACTAAATTAAATCTATTTTTCTCCCCCACCACTCCTTTCGGTTCTATCTCTATTTAGCAACGATTCGGTGCTCGACTCACATAGTATAATATATATCAAACCTTTCATATGCCTACTAATTACACCATTTTCATAAGTATAATAATTATAAAAATTATAAACCAAAACTTGACGAATAAAATAAAATACGATACCACTTCTGCGGTCACGATAACTAAAATTTGAGAACTCAACGTAATAGAGACTTAAAACGGCCCGGAGATGGTCTTTAATAAGCGAAATGAGTTGGAAGAACTTGCTCAGTCAGGCACTGCAGTACGCCGCACAAATCGGATTCAAATCGATTAATATGAAGAGAAAGAAAAACGCGACTAGAAGCGTAATGTTTTTGGGAAGAGTGACACAATAAAAAACAAGTTCTCTTACCTAAAATAATACCGTACACGTTTAAAAATTACTTTTTTTAAAAACAACACTTCTAAAGAATCCTACAGTCTCAAATGTTAAACATGTACAATGAATTTCTAATATTATTTTCGAATATGAATAGAAATAATTTTTCAATTTTTTTTAATATACAACAAAGATTAAATTTTCAAAATTATTTATTCTTTCAATTGATTCATGCATTGTCTCCGACTTTACGCAAGCGTTCAAAATTTCAGATCGATTGGAAAGGTAAAGTGTGTTAAATATAGATCGTAATAATTGTAGCAGACAGACAGACAAACAAGAAGTGAAGTTAAAGAGAAGTGTTGTAAAAAAACAATATTCTTGTGTCAAAAGGCGCGTAAGCCGCAAATACCATTGAAGTGATTACAGGACCAAGAGTTGGGACGGCTGAATTAACGCACAATCTCATATCGATCTGCCGGTCAAGGGATCTGAGCCTTTGCAGCTCTGTGCTGTAGTCTTAATACGGGGTACAATGATTGGTACTAAAGACTGAAACGTCGAAAATATTCCGTATTTGATGTATGACGAAAGTGTTTCACGTTAGGTTATATAGCGTGCTGCCACCACCCGATACGACTAGGTTAACCTTATCACGTAACTATAAACTATACAATTCAAACAAGTACTATCATATCACAGATACATATTAGTATAAAAATTAAGAGCACAATAGCTAATTTAAATCGCCGAATTCATTACATATATAAGACAGGATGTCACGATTTCTTTTTTATTAATTTAAGAAGGGATTCTTTGTTTAGTTCATTCCAAGTAACAGCTGGTTTCCACTGGCTAGCAAGAGATGATTCTGAGAATGGATCTTCAGTCGTAATATCTAGGGATTCACCTGCACAATGACAAATAAACGTTACTTTTCATTGAAATTTCGATTCAATTTTCAAAATATATTCCTATAAATTTGGGATGTTAAAAGCATGGGGTTGATTATTACAGATTTGATGAATTAAGTGCAGTGTATTTACAGATTCCTTCAACCGACAGAACATACCATTAAGATGCACCGAGAAGTGGTACGCGTGCAGCATCATCCTGGTAGGCGAGGTGTCCTGCCTGTTGCTGTAGGTGTAGTCCCCGACGATGGTGTAGCCGAGGCTGCTGCAGTGAGCTCGCAGCTGATGTCGTCTGCCGGTAGCCGCCAGCAGCAGCACTTTGCTCGCCTCAGCTCCTGCTAGACAAACGCTGCAGTCACTGCATGCAGCAACACCTTTGCACGCAGCAACACCTTGCTTGCCTCTGCTCTAGCTCGACAAACGCTGTAGTTACTGCACGCAATGGCACCTTGCTTACCATTATAGTGTCCAGTCTGCAGCAGCAGGAGGCGGGTGAGAGCTTACCGTTGTAGTGTCCAGTCTGCAGCAGCAGGGGGCGGGTGAGAGCTTACCGTTGTAGTGTCCAGTCTGCAGCAGCAGGAGGCGGGTGAGAGCTTACCGTTGTAGTGTCCAGTCTGCAGCAGCAGGGGGCGGGTGAGAGCTTACCGTTGTAGTGTCCAGTCTGCAGCAGCAGGAGGCGGGTGTGCGCTTGTCGCTGCCGCAAGCCCTCGTCAGCACAGACACGCAGCGCTGCTAGTGCTGGGTCTGGCGGTTCACCTTGATAAAGAAGAACCAATGAATTGAAACTCACCAATGATACATGTTAACTTGTGTTAGGTAAAATGATCTCATTACATTGAGAGTCCAAGCATGGCATTTTATGCATATAGATATTAAAAAAAATATGACTAATATTACTTAGTGCAATATTCGATTGAAGGCTTATAATTTCACATGACTAGGAAAAAAAATTGAGAAGGAGCACAGTAGTTAAATTCAACCAGGTTGAGGACTTCCGAGACATTTTGCTAGGGTCTGGGTAAATTATGTGATTAAAAAACTAAAAATGAGTAACTGATATTTTCAGCTTCCACTTGTTGATTCAGTGATTCATTTGATGAATCTAATTCACAAGGAGCAACCTTAGAAATACAGAAATTCAAGACTGAAACTGAATTTAACCATTTAGAAGGCAAAGTTAATTAATGTAAAATTAGAATCAAATCAAAATATCTTGTTGGTGTTTGCAAGTGGTATCATGCTTCTCCTAATCACCAATCATCCTATTTTGATGTTTTAAACATAGCATTACTTCTTAACATGCTTAAAAATAAGAATACTAATAGCAATAAAATAATTTGTAGCTCAGAAACCAAAATCAATGATTTTTACATATTTCAACACAGAAGTATAGCCATAATGCATATATACGTATTTTAATAATATCAGTAACATAATATCATTGAATAAACTGTAATATTATAGTTCACCTTTACATTTGCTTCTTTTATTTTACATAATGAATTTTCTGAATTTAGTGACCAAAAATTGTTATTTTGCTGCCAGTTATTTTCTCGTTCTGATTAAAATATCAAATGCATCTGATGATAATATGCATTTTAGAATACTTTCATACTTCCCTTCACATGCAATGAAAATCTGACATTTAATTTTTTTCTGTCCTCCCTTTATAGGGTTACTGAAAATTTGCATTAAAATTTTATTTTTACAAATTTTAGTACACAACTAGTCTTAACAAAAATTTTGTAATGGAATATTAAAATAAAAAATACTATTTTAGTATAATCCATTCAAATGCCTCACATTGTCTACATAATTGAACTTTTCATGCAATAAAAATTGAAAACTGAACAGCATAATTTCCAGACATCATGAAATTATCAAATCCCTTACCAATCATTTCTATGGATTCTAAACAAAAGCTGAACCACAAAAACAGTGACAGACTCATGGATGAACAATTTTTTAAACACAGAACCATTCAAATAACTTCATCCAATGGCAGCACTAACCAATTGTGCCATGAACATCAATGAGCTCCTGACTGATGCTTCCTCTCAGTAGCGCCACATAAACTTTGGTGACACGTCGATTACTCATGGCCGCTGACATGGCAGCTGCTGCGTGCTTGTGTTTTGCTACGCACAGAAGACCTGAAGTTGCGTAATCCAGACGATGGCAAAAGTGGAATTGATGCCCAAGGTTTGGGTTTGCCAATTCAGGGTACTTATTTTCTAGTTGGGTTTGCAGAGTCACCTGGTGATTAACAACTGCATGAATGTACAACTAATATTAAAAATTCAAATTTTATTACATATATCAATTATCATAGAAATTTATAACAGTATAACTTTACATAACAATCAGATCTCTTTCTTACAAAAATTTACCAAAAACTATTTTTTAGAAATTGAAATTTAATGTTTCTTATTGCAGGACAAGATTTTACAGTGTACATTTTATTGTTATATTTGTTAATAAAGAGACATTTTTAGTTATTGAGGTTGCAGGTTGCTAATCCCACTGTATATAAATTCTATAACGGAGACAATAACTGTGTGAACATGGTGACTTTTTACCAAACTTCAAGAAAGATTGGAGTACAATTTGAATGAATAATAATGAGTGCTCTTCATGTAATAAAGCTGTAAACTTGCATTCTAAATTCTCAGTTTCACAATGAGTTGTTATCAACCAAAAGCAAAAATCACAAGATGTCTACAATTTTCAGAAAAAAAAATCACTTCATGAGGTTTTTCATTCCATGAGTAGGTATTATTTGGAACAATATCTTAGTACATTTTTATTTTTTTTTTCAAAGTAATTCCTTAGCATTTCTAAGAGAAGAAACAAGCCTCACCTTGATATGTGGATTGTCTGAATTAATGAGAAGATCATAGTCTTTGTTGACAACCAAATAGTCATCACTCTCATACACAACCTGAAAAATATGTTCATATCATTAGAGCAAGTAGAAAAATGCAAATATTTTGGGTATATTTTCTGCTAATATTAAAAAATCAATAAAATCTGCCATCTGAAATATATCAATGCATAACTGTTTAGTTTTCAAAAGATCAAAAGTAGTCTAAACTTCCAAAAAAAATCACAGTTTTGATTCTTTTTGTTAAATCTAGTTATTCCAGTTTTTGATTTATCAAATATGCAAATTAAATTCATCACAACTCCAGTTAGCAGAGCCACTGAAATTTTTTTCTGAAGGACAAGGAAATCCATTTTTGTGTTAATTGCAAACCATACACTAGGTCAATATTTTTTTCATGGACATTAATTGATGCATAAGCAGCCAAAAACTTTACTGTTACTCACCTTCAGACCTTCAAGATTTCTAATAATGCAAGTCACAGTTTCATCTTCACTCAGAGATGATTGTACTAACTTAGTTGTCATTTTTGCAAGCTTTAAGATACAAATTTTTTAAACAAAAAATTATACATCAAAACTTAATATATAGATAAAAATTGATTTCAGATCATCTAAATAAATGTATAAACATTTTTATGGTTAGTAGCAACACAGCAAGCAAGTTCCACTCTAAATACGAAATAAAACAATTTGCCAAGCCTGCACAAAAGAGGCAAATTAGTATTTCATTGGAGTTTGGACAAAGTTAAATTTCCACCACTATTTATTTTTAAGGCTCAAAGGCTGACCAAAATGCCTCTCATCCTGATCTATGTCTATAATGATAGAAATTACAAAAATTCTCAAATTCTAAAGTCAACAGACTTCTACATAGATAAATTACAAACAGTAACCTCAAATATAAAATTTGGATGTATGATTCAAATGGCTGGCTCAGATAGAATACAAATATTGACCCAGATGACGGATGGCAGCAGTGCGTCTCCTCATTGGGGCGTCTCCACCGCCGAGAGCTGAGGAAAGATCCCACTGAAGTGAAAGGTCTTCTATTCTTGAGCAGAAATCCCTTCATTGGTTGGAGAATTGTGTGCAGTGTAGAATGAAATGCTCAATTGTGTCCTCCATGTTGCATACTGAACAGTTACTTGAATTGGCCAAGTTAAATCCCGCCAAATGAGCATAGACACCAGCATGTCCCAGGCGCATGCGAGACACAGCGCACTCAACTGAGCATGGCAGCACTCCATGGTCAACAAAGGCTATTTCATGTTTGGACCTAGCCATTTTGACTTCAAATTTGTCTAGTCATGCCATTCTGACCCAGGGGCCAGATCTGGGAAGTGATCACTTTCCTATTTGCTGCAAAATAGGCATTAAAATTGTCAAGTCCCCAGAAAAGACACAAGTCCCATGGAAACTTTATCAAGCTAACAGGCCATATTATCAGCAACTCCTTGACGAGACACCTGCTGCTTCAGAGTATGGCCCTAGAGATGCTAATAGTGCCTATATTTCTCTGTCAAATTCCATAGTAAAAGCTGCCTCTATGTCAGTGCCCCGCAGTTCTGGACAAAGACACTGTTGCTTCTCCACACCATGGTGGGCTTCTGTTGCTTCTCCACACCGGGGCACCAACATAGAGGCAGCTTTCACTATGGAATTTGACAGAGAAATATAGGCACTATTAGCATCTCTAGGGCCATACTCTGAAGCAGCAGGTGTCTTGTCAAGGAGCTGCTGATAATATGGCCAGTTAGCTTGATAAAGTTTCCATTTGACTAGTGTCTTTTCTGGGGACTTAACAATTTTAATGCCTATTTTGCAGGAAATAGGAAAGTGAGCATTACCCAGATCTGGCCCCTGGGTCAGAATGGAACGAGTGGACAAATTTGAAGTCAAAATGGCCAGGTCCAAACAAGATGTAGTACCATGTTGGTTGTCTATATATGTAGGAAAGCTGCCATCATTCAGGAGACATGGTCAAGGCCTCAACCACTGCTTCTATGGATCTTCCAGTGACATTAGATCTGCCCCTAGCATCCCACAGAGGAGAATGGGCTTTGAAATCCCCAACAGCCACAAAACTGTCACCAAGTTGAGATAGATAAAAGTTAATTTCATCTTGGGCTATATTATTACCTGGATTATAAAAATTGCCAATAGCAATCCAACCTAGAGCTGTATTGATCTTCAAAGACTGGAATTCAAGATTAGAACCTCCTGGAAATACAGGCATATCAAACTGTTGTTGCTGAATGTCTCTCCGAACTAAAATTGCCATGCCACCTCTGAAAGCATTTTCCCGATGTGACCACATTCCAGAATAACCAACAAAAGAGGGCTCATGGACTCCTAGCCAAGTCTCACAGAGGTATACAACATCTGGCTTTTCACTAAATAGATGAAGCTTTATTTCTGTCAGTTTTCCATGCAGGCCATGACAGTTTAGTTGCACAATCTCCAAGCCTAGCTCTCTTCTAGGAGGACGGGTCAAATGCAGAGACCTCAGAGTGTAACTCATTGAGATTGTTCTCTACCATTTGCAGTCTTACCCTTGCCTTGCCCCTTAGAACGTCCACCTTGTTTAGAAAGCACACGGTTCAACTGCAAAGATGCTGATCCTACCAGGGGCAATAGACTCCTAGTCTGTTCAGTACCTGTCACTTTCTTTGTTTTCACAATGGTTGGGACACAGTCTTCTGAGGGCTTTCCTGGGGTATGGCCCTGTCCAGAGGCAACTCCGCTGGCTGGCAGCCACTCTTCCTGTAGCGCCTCACTGACCTCTGGTAAAAAGCATTCCTCAGTAAACTTATAAGTAGCAGAGATTTCTCCTTTGCACCCTCACTCAGTAGATTCATCTTAAACACTTCATTCACGAATTGACCCAATTTGATAGAGAACCCAGTAAGTGATGCAAGAATAATATCATCCACTTGTTTCTTGCTAGAAGCAAGCTCTTCCCTCATGGTCCCTCTCAAGTCTGCAAAGGTGCTCACACCTCCTTGCCTCCCTGCAGCAACAACCGTAAAACCAGAATGTGCCAACAGACTCACAAGAGGCTGAGACTGCTTGGTAAGAACACCTGAGAGGCTGAGCAGCTGCCCTGAGGTTGATGAACATCAACTGGCACCATCACAGTGGCACAAGCCACCGGTGCAGGACAAGGAGGGCTTGAGTCTGCCACAATAGAAGCATAGGAAGTTTGTGAGCTTGGCACAACCTGATCAGGGGCCTGTCTCATTTGCAGCATGGGCTCCTCTGCAGTTGGCACAGTGTTTCTCAGCTGATGCACAAACTGTGTGCTCATGAGGACCAGCACATAAGAGGCACTTTCTAGGAGAATTGCAACCCTCTGCTAAGTGCCCCCAATCTTTGGCATTTGTAGCACCTCATTGGGGAGGCAACAAAGGGTCTTACTGAGTAAGAGACATATCCAATTTTAACTTTTTTTGGCAACACTTGGCCTTGAAAAGTGACTTTAAGAGTAGCTGAAGGCTCCAGATTTCCATTATGGAATCTGGTTAGCCGGAAGATGTCAGAAATGACAACATCTCCAGCACTTGCGCACAACGACAGTTGCACCTGCAAGTTCGACCATATCTTTCATGTCAACATTGGGATCAATTGGCCCAATGACCAGCCCCACACACCCTCACATCAGAACTGAGAAGTGAGAACCTGACTGGTAGCAACGAACAGCCCACTTTCCAATCATAGAGACATCAAGATAATTGGCAATGTTTCGATCAGTGAAGGTAGAAGACTGCAGAGCAATCAACTGGCGGCGGGGGTTATGACGCACAGTCAAGTTTCTCACTGCTAGTCTGCTCCAAACGGTGAGTTTTCAATTCCCTGCGCCAAGCCAAGCCAATTGGATCTTTTAGAAAGGATACAGCATTTGGACCCTGTGGTTTTATCAGGATGGTCAGTCCACTAGTGACCACTACCTGAGCATTGCAGAGTGGCATTAGTTGGCAGCTTCACATTCTTCAAATTAATAGGGTTAGGGACACTTTCAACGGTTTCAATTGATACTCTATTGCTCTGCGTTGTTGGGCGCTTAGCCTTAGTACCACCAATGCTCTTGCTTGAGCCATTTGTCTCTCTCTCTCAGCTCTCTCTCTCTGCATTTTTGCCCAAGCTCAACAGCCACAGACTCTACATCTACAGGAGTTGCTTCAAGTTCAATAAGGCTCTCACAGTCTGACACTGACTCCTCCACCACCAAGCCATCAGAAGATGCTTCCCCGAGGACCCCAACGGCCAACACAAGCCCGGGAAGCCCCTGCTGCTCCAAGCACCACAGGTGGGCCAAAACCAGAGTCCAGACCCCGTATTCCGTAACCCGTAACTCCGTAAGCATAGTGGGGAGTGGCAAAGCAGCGAATTTTTTAGACTCTCTCTCTCAAGTTCATTTTTGAGTTCTATAAGTAGACCAATAAAGTATCATGGATACAAGCATCATCATACATAAGAAATTGGTTTAAATCTTGAGTAAATGAGGAAATTAAAAATGAACTGATTCTAAAAAATCTATGGTTTGCCACTATGCGGGCCGTAAGGCCCGGGAGCCGGGCCCGTAAGGCGTAAGGCAAGTTAGGCAACTAAGATTGTCCATGTGGAACAGACAAACAGAAGTTAGCTGTTAGAAAACAAACAAAAGAAAAAAATTAACAAGACAAAAACTAAATAAAGTAGAAGAGCAAGAAAATAAAATAAAGAAAAAATAATAATAATATACGTTTAAAAATTACTTTTTAAAGACAACACTTCCAAAGAATCCAGTATCTCCAGTCTTACAGATGTACAATGAATTTCTCATCTAATTTT